TGCAATGAAATAACAGAAACTTTAAAGATTTGATCTGGATATTATTTTAAATCTCTTTCCAAAACAATTAAATGAATACATATGATCTTTAATCCCAAATGTATTATTCAGGTCGCTGATTTAGTTCGATGTCGCGATGAAGAGCTATCGAATTATGCATTCTTGGTGGAAAGCTCACATTACACTAGAAGGCAGTAAGGATATATTACACCTATTTTTATTTACAATGAAAAAGTTATAGATTAATCTAAATCGTATTTAAAAGTAATACAAAAAATTTTAGTTTAGAACCTAAATTAAAAATAATTTAAATATGAAGTAAAAATATTTTTTAATAGAAATGTAATTAAGAAATAACGACAAAAATAATAATTTTTTTATATAAATACTTTAAGTATTTATATATAAGATAATATATGTAAAATTTATTGTGATAAGAAATTAATTATTCTGTAAATAAAAAGTTTTATTAAATTTTATTAAGTTTTATTAAGAGTACAAACGAAACGAGTGATGATACAAACATAAAATAAAATTTTTATTTACAGAACAACTAAGTTTTGCATTGCAATGAAACTTCACATAAATAATTTTAAATACTTAAAGTATTTATATAAGAACAATTGAGGTTTTTGTCATTATTTCTTAATTACATTTCCATTAGCTTCTACTTATTTGTTTAAATAATTTTTTATCCAAGCAGGCAGTTATCAACCACCGCTAAACCTTTTGTATTATTTTTAAATGCTATTTAAAATAATCTGTAAATTTTTCGTAATTTTTTCATTATAAGTATAAAAATTATAAAAATGGATATGATACATCCTTAATCAATTATATTCGCAAAGAATGCAGAGGCAGGAAAAAACATCGATTTTAAATATCACTTATCACATCGATTTTAAGTATCACTTATCACGGACATTTATCACGGTATGTATTCTTTTTTCAGAGAATTTTTTGAAATATAAAAAAATGTAAAACATATTACGCTTGCAAATCGCAATTTGCATTTGTCAATATATAGTTTTGTCTAAAATTGCAATTAATCACTGTCTTTTTATGCTGACGTATTTGCTTACGTAGGATATCAGACACTTCTATCGATATGCACTATTGTAATGTAAAAAATCGATGGAACTTATTGGAAAATAGATATCTTATTCTACTAATTTTGGTGGTTTTAAAAAAATAAGATGTCTCAGATGTAAAATATATATATATATATATTTATTTATTTATTTAATCGTATTAATTTTTTGTTACAATAATGTTTTTGAAATGTATCCTGTATTCAAAATTTTTTTAGAGGTTTAGAACATTATAAATTATTCTTTTTTTTCCACTGAGAGCTCTCCTGACTTTTCTGAGGATTCATTAGACTTTTAAATAGTTTCACGATATAAGACTCTTCGTCGCAGACTTTTGGTTGCTTTCTGTCTTCCCGCTTCAGATTCGACGTCATCTCGATTTTGATATTTTCGTTCTCGTTCTTGTTTTCACTTAAATCCTATTTTTGTACGCAATAATTTTTTCGCATACATCAAAATTGTCAAATAAAATCATCAAAAAATTTTATGTTTTTATTTCCAGTATATTTATTCAACGTTATCTCGTCGACATTGAGTTTCGATAACATATGCTCATCAAATATGTGTATTTATTGCGTTTTTATATATTGCCATATGTCTTTGTCAGATATTTTTGTTTAATAGTTTAGTCTCATACACCGAGGATATGACATTTTGTTTTAGATTGTAAAAAATAAAAAACAAAATTCAATGAATGTTGAACATTTAATTAATTATTGAGTGGTCTCGGAGAAAAAATCGTCGATGGAATTTTTATGAAATGTATTAATTTCAAATCTTTCTTTAACTATAAATATCGATCGTATAAACATCAACTTTTATACGTACATCTCACATAAAATACTTACTTTCAAATCCGATAAAGATTCATTTTCAGCTTCAGTTGCCATTTCAAATTCGCTTTCCATAATTATCGAAAAAATTTCTCATCAAAAGACTTGAAAGTTTACTTTGCTATTTAGTCAGCATTCCCATTTTTTCTCAACTCGCGTTTTAATTTCGGTCATAACTGTGAACGATATCAATATAAATTTTCAATCTATTATATACATTTGATCTATTATATACATCAAATTTGATATCCAATTTAATGGATATCCGAAATTAATATCCGAAAATAATAAATTAATCAATAAAATCACTAA